TCACATGTCACACATACAAACACATACACACACAATTCCAAATGGATCAAAGATCTCAATGTGGAACATGACATGCTAAACTTGCTAGAATAAAGTCTAGGCAGCACTCTCCAAGACATAAGTTTAGAAAAGGACTTTCTGAATTAGGATTCTATTTGTCCAGAAATAAAGGCCAACAACTGACAAGTTGTATCTCATAAAACCAAAAAGCTTCTGTAAAGCTAAGGAAACAATCAATCAAGTGAAAATAAAGCATAAAGATGGAAGAAAATCATTGCCAGTTACCTATCTTGTAGAGGGTTAAAATTCAGAATATATAACAAATTCAAAAGACAAAAACTCAGGAAAACAGATGACACAGTTAAAAACTGAGCTATAGATCTGAACAGAGTTCTGAAAAAAGAAAAGAAAGATGGACAAAATGTCTAAAATATGCTCAATGTCGCTTCCCCTTCTCCCTGAGGGAGGAGCAGCCTTGCAAGGCCACAGATAAGGACATTGCAACCATCCTGAAGATACCTGATAAGCTAGGGCCAGACGAAGGAGAGGAGGACACCCGCTCTCAGTGGACTGGGAAGGGGGCAGGGAGGAGATGAGGGAGGGAGGGGAGGATTGGGAAGGAAAGAGGTAGTGGGTTACAGCTGGGATGCAAGTGAATGTATAAAATTATTTAAAAATAAAAAAATAAAAAATAAATAAATTTAAAAAGTTTAAACAATAAAAAAATAAAATATGCTCAATGTCTTTAGTGATTAAAGAAATGCAAACAAAACTACTTTGAGATTTCATCTTTCCCTAGTCACAATGGCTAAGGCCCAGAAAACAACCTGACCACAAACACTGTTGGAGAAGAGGATTCACTGCTTTTGGAACTCCAAATCGGTATAGCTACTCTGGCTACCAGTGTAGAGAATTCTCAAAAAGCTAAATATAAATCTACCAGATGACCCAGCTCCATTCTTTGGCATATTCCCAAAGGACTTAACATCCTACTCCCCAGATACTCGCTCAGTCATGTGTGTTAAACTTCATTTATAACAGCTAGGGATGGAGGCAACTGAATGTCTTGCCAAAGATGGATGATGCAAATGTGGCACATAGACACTATGGAATAATACTCAGCCACAAAGAAAAATGAGAATGTAAAATTTTTAGGTAAATGGATGAAAGTCAACATGTTATACTGAGTGCAGTTGCCCAGACCCAGAAACACACATTGCGTGTTCTCTTTCCTGGTAGTTCCTGGCCCCGAATGCTTAGATGTAAGTTACATGACCTAGAGTAAGAACCACCTGGTATCTTCAGTGTCCTCTAATGACTCAGAGTACATTTCAGAATACACAAAATTAAAGCAAACTTACTCTAAACCCTTTTGTTCTAAGAAGCAGCCATCTCTAGAGTTTGCTTTACGTATAAAAAGAGGCGTTGCTTCCCGTTTGTGCTTTACTGTATCATAACCTTAATGCTCTCAAGGAACATCGCTACCCACTACCACCACTAAGTTTAAATTCATTAAAAAATTACCCTTCTGACCATTTTGATGAACCAAATCCTGTATCTGTGTACCATGGAGAAGAAATATTATTACTGTGAATAATAATACTAGTGCATTGGACAAAAAGAAAACATTTAATAAACAACTGGCCATATTTTCTAATGATTGATGAACATCTAGAAACAAAATACTCTAAAACCAAAGCTCTCATTTTTTTTTAACTTTTATTAATTATATTTTGTTCATTTTGTATCCCCCCATAAACCCCTCCCTCCTCCCCTCCTAATCCCACCCTCCCTCTCCCTTCATCACAAATGCCCCTTCCCAAGTCCACTGATAGGGGAGGTCCTTCTCTCCTTCCTTCTGATCTTAGTCTATCAGATCTTATCAGGAGTGGCTGCATTGTCATCCTCTGTGGCCTTTACCAGGGCTGCTCTCCCCTCAGGGGGAGGTGATCAAAGAGCAGGCCAATCAGTTCATGTAAGAGGCAGTCCCTCTTCCCATTACTATGGAACCCACTTGGATACTGAACTGCCATGGGCTACATCTGTGCAGGGGTTCTAGGTTAGCTCCATGCATGGTACTTGGTTGGAGTATGAGTCTCTGGAAAGACCCCTGTGTTCAACTTTTTGGTTCTGTTGCAAAGCTTTCATTTTTTTTTAATCCATGTATATCAATTTACAAAGATGTCATATATAATAAGGTTAGCTAGGGTTGGGAGCAAAGTTTGATACAGTGCTTGCCTGAAACATACAAGGTTTACCACTACACAACAAACAAACAAACAAAAACAAAGCAACCATCTTACTCATAATCTAGTAATTTTTTTAACTGACTTTGGAAAATATCTCTAAACATACATTTGTCAAGGTCACTGGCTTATCGGATTTTTCTTTAATGTCTAGAGGTGTTTGCTTATAGTTGCTTTTAAAACATCTTTCTATATATATTATGCATTTTAGAGCATGGGAATTATGAGCTATTAAGTCCAATATCAAGTTTTCCTCTGGGGGTGTCATAGAATGGAGACAGCATTATTTTCTAGGTAGAATAATGGTTCTGTCTATGGAACAATGGAGCAAAATGTTTCATTGTTCTTGCTGTTTTTGACTTTTTTTTTTAGGTGTATATTACAAATAACCACATAAAACCTGCTGTAAAAATACCAACAAGGTTAAGACCCTAGGCTAACTAGATGTGATTATGTGAAAAAAAAAAAAAAAGTTAAAGGACAAACACAGTCAGCTGTGGGTTACCTCATTATGGCCATCACAGCTGGATATTCTGTAGCTCAGGCATGAGTGTGCTAGGCTTTCAGTTGTGTGTGAAGAATCTTTTACAACCCCAGTAGTGTATCTAGGGGTACAGTCGATCTCTGGAAAATGGGACAAAGGCTGTATAGAAATGGATTTATCAGAACTGAGTTGTTACAACCTTCTCTCTCATGTGAGCTGGCAAATTAGAGCCTAACCTGCCTCTGTAACTCTCTTTCTTTGTAACCATGTCCTGTACATGCCCATTTCTACTGTGTTATCATCTGCTTTGCCTTTCTCTTGTCATGTGTTCAAGGTCAATTAATTACACTGTATTCACTTTGTATCCCCCCCTGTGGTTCCCTCCCTCCTTCCGTCCCAATCCCTCCCTTCCTCCACCCTCTGCATGCATTGTCATCTGATAGGGGAGGTCTTCTTTTCCTTCCTTCTGATCCTAGCAGGCCACAGAAGAAGACAATGCTGTTTTGACTTTCAAGTGAAAGTCCTTATTTTACCTTACGCTGCCTGATCATTCAATCAAATTAGCCTGAATTCAGTCATCAACATAGACTGGCTGCACTCAGTTTATGAATCAAGCATTCACTGTCAATCTCATTGCCTCTCAACAGTTTGCAAAAATTCGGGTGAGATAAACAATGCTGTGCAATGCATATTGGGTGGGCATGCTATTCATCCAGACCTATCTGAAAATCAAGCCTGGGCTAGCTCAAAACACATGGGCATTATGACTTGGATTTTACAGTAATTTCTAAAATTAGTAAATTACTTTTGTTGGGCTTCAGTTTCTAGAACACAAAATGAAAGAAAGTTTGTTGATCCTTTTTATATTCATGAACATCTATGGCCAAAGCAGTAATCCTGCAGAACAGAATGAGGCACAGTCATTGTTCTGAAAGACTGCCTATCTACTTATATTTATAAGTATCTTTACTTACCTATAAAGATCACATAATTTTGTGTGATAAAATAAAAAATAAGGAAGTTGACAGGATCCTGAAGCAGAAGGAAAGAAGAGAATGCCTCAAAACAACTCTGACATGCACCAGAATACTGTCACTGCTGCCTCAGGGTTAGGAGTTCCAACACGGCAAAGTGCAGAATCACCTTCAATGGGAAAAGCATCGTCCAGTTCACACACACATTATGAGTCTTGGGCTTAAATATGGTAATTTGCTATGATACACAGTAGAGTAAGTGATTGAATTTTTTGGCTCAATCATGTCACCCAGGACCTCCTCCAATTCTTTCCTTGCTCAGTTGTTCCTTCTTCAGGAGGCACGAAGGTAAACAAGGATCTTTTGGGCATTGTGACAAGATATACAGGATCTCAAAAATATCCCCCCCCCCATGTCCCCTTCTTAGGGGACAGGGAATATTCTTCAGTGATTTTTGAAGAGTTCACCTCATCTCAAAATCCTGGACTTGGACCTGTGTCTCTGCATAAACAATCAGGGAATTCTCAGAACAGGCTTAACAGGCTTAGAGTGATCATCTGGGATGCTGCCTTCCCTGGTAGATAAACTACAAATAAGCATATACATATGTTATGTGGGGCTAAGCTTGGTCACTCAGAAGCCAGGAGCCTCATTCGCCAAATTATCTGAATGAGATTCTGATTTGTTTTCTTCCTTTCAAATCAGAAAAGGCAAGCCTGTTGGAAAGCTATAAAAATCACCCTAGCATATTTGATCTCATTTTGAACCCCAAAGTTTTGAACTGTAAAACCCTGTTTATTGTTTGGTGTGGTTGAGCCCTATCCAAGAACTTTCTGCTTATTGCAAACAGGTGATTATGGTGTGGTTCACCCAGCTCTAGCACACATCTTTAACCCAAGAGCTTTCTGGATATAGCATTTAATAAAGTTAACCCTAGGTCAAGAGGCTGAGCAAGAAACCAGCTGACAGGGATTAAAGAGTAAGGAGGAACTTTGAGTTGAGGGGTTTTTAAGACAGCATGTAGAAGTAGAAGGGCTTTAGCTCTTTGGCTTTAGCTCTCTAGTTTTTGGGCCTTTAGCCTTGCTTTTGTTTTTGTTGTTGTTGTTTTGTTTGTTTGTTTGTACTTTTTCTCCTGGGCTGTCAGTTAATGTAGTGATCTTTTGGGTTTTTTCCCATCTAGACCTGAGCTGAGAAGGAAGGCCAACTGGATGCTTTCTCTGCCTCTCTGAGCTAGCAGGTTTTCACCACCCCTCTTCCCCAATCAGCCTATCCCATGCAGAATTTCAAAAAACATACCAAAATCTACTAGTTTTACTCCACCTTCAGTAGTCAACAGAATGTTATTTCCTTTGACATCACGATGGATAGTTTTGTTGCTATGCAGGTGCTGAAGTCCCTGGAAGGTGGAAAATGTATAATGATTCTTAAAAGTGTAAAACAAAGAAACATTTTTTAGGTGGTGCATTCATACAGAGTCATACCAAACACATGTTAAAATCAGCATCCCAAACAAAATGTTTTGCACCGAGAGAGTCAAATCCAAACGTACCATTTCCAACTTGTACTATATAGAAAGTCACGAAACAAGAGCACACTTCTCAGCTTTTCACCAAAATCTGTTTTTAAATCACTTTATTTATGTATTATTTATCTATTTATGTGCACATGTGTGTCTGTGCATGTGTTTATGAACATGTGCATATTTGTGCATGAGGACGTCAGAGGACAACTTGTGAGAGTCAGTTCTCTTCTACTATGCCGGTTCCAGAATTCAGCTAGGTCGTCATGTCTGGCAGCAAGCACCATTATCTGCTGAGCCATCTTGCTTGCTCTCCAAAGTCATAAAACATGTTGCAAATGAAAAACATAACTACTAGAAATTTTCTACCGTTATTTATAAAAATTTGAAGAAATCGGGATCCTATCAATGCAGACAAAGTTGGCTTCCACTGAAGAATCAAAATTGTCTATGCTAAATATTCAGGTTTCACATGAGCTTGCACTCATCATACTAAGTAGTAATAGTTTTCTGAAAATGGGATCCACATTTTTATTCAGTTAGAACTACCACCTAGTTATTGCACAAAGAATTCAAATGGCCTTACCATTAGTGCTTCATGTAAAATATATGCAATTATAGGCTCGCTCATTCTTTCTCCCCTCTTCAGGAATCCTTTCACAAGATCAGTCACAGATCCTCCATTGCACAGCTGGAAATGAGTGAGTGCATCGAAGGACGTTAAAATTAACACAATGTGTTTGTTAATATAATCTTGTATTTATTACAATTTATTCACTTTTTATTTCAGCTGTAGCCCCCCTCATTTCCTCCCAATCCTTCCCTCCTTCTTTCCCTCCCTGCCTCCCTCCCTCATCTGCTCCCATGCCCCTTCCCCAGTCTGCTGATAGGGGAGGATCTTCTCCCTTTTCATCTGACCCTAGTCTATCAGGTCTCTTCAGGGCTGTCTTTCATAATCTTCCTCTGTGACCTGGTCAGGCAGCTCCTCCCTCAGGGTGAGGTGATCAAAGAGTCAGCCACTAAGTTCATGTCAGAGACAGCCCCTGCTCCCCTTTTAGGGAGCCTATTTGGATACTGAGCAGCCATGGGGTACCTCTGTGCAGGCGGTCCAGGTTATTTCATGAATGGTCCTTGATGGGAATATCAGTCTCAGAAAAGACCCCTGGGCCCAGATTTTTTTGTTCTGTTGTTCTCCTTGTGGAGCTCCAGACCCTTCTAGGTCTTTCTATCTCCCCTTTCTTTCACATGATTCCCTGCACTCTGCACAAAGTTTGGCTATGAGTCTCAGCATCTGCTTTAGTACCCTGCTTTGTAGAGTCTGTCCGAGGCCCTCTGTGGTAGGATCCTGTCTTGTTCCTAATTTTCACCTTCTTCTGATGACTATCTTTTACAGCTCTTACTGTAAAAGGTTTTCTTTTTTAAACTTTAAAAAAAAATAATTTTTTATTAGTTTACAGCTTATTAACTTTGTATTCAGTTGTAGCCACCTCCTTCATTCCCTCCCAATCCCACCCTCCCTCCCTTATCTCTTCCCTGCCCCTCTCTAAGTCCACTGATAGAGGAGGTCCTCCTCCCCTTCCATCTGACCCTAGCTGATCAGGTCCCTTCAGGACTGACTGCAATGTCCACCTCTGTGGCCTAGCAAGGCTGCTCCTCCCTTGGAAAGGGGGGTGGGGAGGTCAAAGAGCCAGCCATTGAGTTCATGTCAGAAACAATCCCTGTTCCCCTTACTAGGGAACCCACTGGGATGCTGAGCTGCCATGGGCTACATCTGAGCAGGGGTTCTAGGTTTTATCCATGTGTGGTCCTTGGTTGGAGAAACAGTCTAGTTTTCTTAAAATGTTTCAAAAAATTGTTCTAGTATCCTGTTGTAAGCTGTCTCCTAAATGACTCTCATTATCTTCATGATGTCACAAATGAAAATAGATTATTCTCACATAGGACTGAAACTAGAATGCAGTTTTCGTCTAAATTAATTTTCAGAAGAGATTCTTCTACTTAAATTTAAGGCTAAGAATTGTGATTTTACAAATTACTCCCCAATTTAGGACATAGACCTCAAAAGCTATACTGACTTCTGATATTTCAATTGATATAAATCAACAGTGTCAATGGATATACACTACTTTAAATGTGAACTAATTTAAAAAGAAACAAACGTCCTTTTAGGCAAAATTGATAAATACATGGAAGATGACAAATAAAACTCTAGGCAACAATATTGTATTGCCTCTGCTCTCCAGAACCTCCTTCTCTGCACACAAGCAGGGAGAATCTGAATAGACAAGAAGATTATGATGGAGAAACTTTCAATAACTGGGCTCTGCAAAGTTAGGTAACTTTAAGTAGTACTGAAAACTTTCAAAGGAGGCATCCCATCCTCAGTACATACCTACAATGATACAGCAGTGGATATGAGAAGAGAGGTCACTGGGTGACTGTCCTCAACCAAGACAGCATCACAAGGATGCTTTGACTCTGTAAGTCCTCGATCCCCTGAAGTTATATAGTAACGACTCTGCCTTCAACCTTTCCCCAGCCACGGATCCTGTCTGTGGTCTCCGCGCCCCAGCCTTGATCCACTGCTCCTCCCTTATCATCTCCCTCCCAGCCATCACTTCCTGGCATCACCGGCCTTTGTAAGTTTAGCCATTTTAGTAAATATCCGATAGTATTTCTTTCTGCTTTTAGCTTAACTTTCCCCAAAGTCCTGGGATGTAGCTTCTAGAGTACAGACTTGGGAGTGTTTGAGAAATGCAGGTGGTCTGCATGTAGTTCCGTGTCCCCTGTTACTGTAAGGAATTCTCTGCTTCTCTGGTTTTTATTGATGTTTAGCTTAATAAACACTGCATTGATGAATGTTTTACACTAGCTTAAAAAAAGAAAGAAGAACCCTGTGAAATATCTTAAAAACCACTGGTTTCATTACCTTCTTTTTGGAGGCCATCCTTCCTCTGCTCTGTCCCCATGCACAGGATGGAGACCCTAATTCTGGTGAGCAGGCTGCTAACGCCATTCTCACTCAGGCTTGTTCATTAGGAATAGGGCACAGAGCCAGAAGAGACAAGCTGAGAGTAGAGGTTGTTTCCTTGTTCAAGAAGCAGGCACCTCTACAAGACATGTGGTTCCCTGCTCTTGCTGGCAGCTCTGAAACAGAGGACCTGGAACCAGAGGTTTTTGCCCAAGGGCGGCCATAAGAACAGAAGGCTGCAAAGCCCTCCCCAATGTTCCTGATATTATTTGGGAGAGAGTAAGAAGTCCAAATCTAAGAAAACTTTTGAAAATAGTGGTGATTCTGATAATTTCAAGGTGCTGTTCAACTCTGTGAGAGCAGCAGGCTTGCTACAGACTATGTAGTTCAGTAGGCAAGATCAAAGAAACGGCTAAGAGCTCTGCTGGGGTCCTCAAAGACCACTCAAGAAACTGTGCCTACATTCAGCTGATCAAACTGTGAAGCAATTCTTTGCTCCAGAATATTGATGAAATCTGCAGAGGAATCAGCAGACAGTTAGTGTAACTCAATAGCTTGGTGTCACACAGAGGTAGACTGGCTTAATAGAAAAATCAAAGAAAGATATAGTTAAGGCTCAGCCGGTAAAGTGCTTGCTTTGCAAGTACGGAGACCTCGGTCTGGTTTCCAGAACCAATGCACAGGTGGCTGTGGTAACACACGTGTGCAATCCCAACAGAGGGGCAGTGGAGTCAGCAAGATCCCAGGGCCTTGATGACCTGAGCCTCTCTGGCGCGTCCCAGACTCACGAGAGACCATGTCTCAACAAAAGAGATAGACAGAGCCTAAGACATAGCACCTGATATGCCTGGCTTCTGAAGAGCTACACACTCAGATGCACACCCACACTACATGCACACTCCCCAACCCAAGGAGGTAGGAAGAAGTGCCTGTCCCTGCTGATAACTGTGAGCATGGCAAACCAGTGCCCTCTAAGGAACAATAAGAGGGGAATCTGTTTTCTGAAAACAGTTTCATTGCTGTCCCTCAGCAAACAAGTCCAAACAGCAGGCACACCCAGAGAATAAGCATTTAGAATTCCTACAACGGGTTATCTAAAAATGTCCAGCCTTCAATCAGAAACTAGGAGACAAAGGAAGCAACAAGAAAATGCTACTGTATAGACATAAAAAAAAAAAAAAGCAGCAGGAACTGTATGTGAAGATGTACCTAGCAGACAAAGACATGAAAGCAGGAATTAAAAAAAAAAATAATGTGTTTAAATTCTAAGGGAAAACATTCGTAAAGTAAGGAAGGATTGATGCTAATGCCAAATAGAGAATATTAAAGCAAAAGAGTTTTTAAAACTTTGATTATAAATGCATCATTTTCTCCTTCTCTTTCCTCTCTCCTTCCTCCCATGCATCCCTTTCCTGTTTGCTCTCTTTCAAATTCATGGTCTCTTTTAATTGAGGCTGGCTTAGAGTTCAAAGTTTCAGTCCTTTAGCATGGCGGGAAGCATGATCACATGCAGGCAGACATAGTGTTGGAGAGGTAGCTGAGAGTTCTAAGTCCATTTCCACAGGCATTAGGAAGAGAGAGTGACACTGGGCGTGGCTTGAGGATCTGAAACCTCAAAGCCCACCCCTAGTGACACAGTTTATCCAACAAGGCCACACCTCATAATAGTGCTAATTCCTGTGGGCCTATGGAAGACATTTTATTTAAACCACTACAATGCCCGTTTTTATTTTACCTTAATTTGTGACTATTTTAGCTGGTTCCAGAATTCAAAGATGACATCATTTTACTCTTCACAGATGTCATTCCAGGACATCTGAGGAAACACCATTGGTCACCTTGATCTGAGACTACAATGTAAAATGTGTCCTTTCTGCTCTGCTCATAATTCTCTTCAGCATCAGTTTTTCGCATTTTGATTATGATGAATCTTACTACAGTTTTCTTAGTTTACTCGATTTCCATGTGGGCAATTGTGATATTCCAGTATTCAAAATACACTCATCTTTTCTCTCACATATCTCATCTAAAGTTAAGCTCAATTGTTGTGATTTATTTTTTCATAGTGATTGCTGTTTCAGTTCTAGAAGTTCCACTTAGTTTTTTTACAGTTTCCATTTATTTCAGTATTGTTGATTTTTCTTTAAAATTTTACATTCATAACAGCATTAAAGTTCTAACTTCCTAATTCCAGTGCCTCTTTCTATTGATCATATTTTCTTTTGACTGGTTCACATCTTTCCTGTGTTTTCACACATACATACATACATAACACATATTTATGTACACATATATACACACATATACATATATGTATACTTATGTGTACATACATAAGTATATATACATGTATAACTTAATACTGCAAATGGACATTAAGTTATATACATATATAATCTAATACTGCAACTGGACATTGTTAATGATGTGTTATTGAATTTCTGGATTTTTGCTGTTTTATATGAATGAGCACTGAATTTCATTCCAGAATATATCTAATAAACATATAGATTAATTCAAGTCTTCTAGGGAGCTATTCTTTTAAGGCTCACTTAACCTTCCCTCTATAGTGCAACCTTTCTGGGATCCCTAGTAAATGCTTCATGAAGTGGAAATTTCTGGTTTCTTTAAGACTGAGTTTTGTCATGTGATATTTTGCTGCAAGCTGGGCACATGATGTTTTGCCCAGGTTGGTTTGTGAAAGGGCACGTGATGTTTTG